CAGACCTGCCCACCTGCCCCCCTCTGGCATCGGGTGGCTGAGCAACAGACATCCCTGATGTCTCCTCCCTGCTCCCGCATCCTGCGGACGTCACCCGCTCAGCTCCGAGTTGATCTGGGATCCATCAGGTTGGAGCAATTTGAGTGTGTAAAGCTAAATGTGTTATCATTTTCACCACAAATTAACAGTTTCTATGTAAATATTGGTATTTCCTCACCCCATAAAGGCGAAAGAAGGCAAAATGGCACTGGCGCATTGGATTTAAACTAATTAAAAGCAGAGGGTTGTGCAATTCAATATATTGATTTTACCAGTGGGACTTAAATCTTTTATAATAAGTGTACACAGCTGCAGTGCTCTCCCACCACTATGCTGTAAAGGCTAATCCGCACATTCCTCTGACAATAACATGACAGGTCCCACACATCCCTGCCTGTGCCCTAACCCCGGTGACACTGCCAAAGTGCATTAAGGGGAAGCAGTGCAGTGACATGCCAAAAACTGAGTGTGTCGACAGCCCCCAGCTAAGTCTACAGAGTGAGTGGGAAAAAATTATTGTGGCCAGCAGCCTGGTGCAAAGGGCTCTCCATTCAAAATATTCAGCTGGTTAAAAGGATGGGCAGGCCGGGAAAGGGTGGAGACAGGGCAGTCTCAGGACACTCTGATGGTTGCAATGGGCCAAATATGACCTTACCAAATGGGGGGGTATTAAAGTGATAGGAGTGATCAATCAACTTAGATGGGACTCTCCCTGAAATGAAGTCATCACTTGTCTCCAAGTTCAGTGGACATGTGATATTCGCTCACATCTCAGGCATTCCGGTGGTCAGGGGATCGTAGGCCAGCTGTGTTTGTCTCGGCAAAGTCTGGACAGCCTACCAAGGCGAGGTAAGGCCCCACGCTGCCGTTCCCAAGACCCGCATCTCTTCTCTCTGTGCAAAGAATCATCCCCCTGGCTGCCCTGAAACCAATTTTTATCTGGGCCACCACCCTTTCCTTTTCGTCAGGGCCCACTTCACAACCAAAGGACAACCCTGAAATAAAACCCCCAAATAGCCACCCAAGCTGGCAACCATGGTTCAGCCTCAACCTGCCTCGATTCCAGAAATGCAGAGAAGATCAAAAAAGTTCAAATCTGGGTCACATATATCCTTGGGAAAAGAGGGGAGAAATCTTTGATTTATATAAGCAGGAAAATGAGGTTTAAAAGAAGTGATTTTGAAAGGGTTACTAAAAACACAGCTGCTGGTGCAGTCCTGTAGTGAAGGCGCTCTGCAGAAAGAAAGAAAGAAGGGGGGAGGCGATGTGACATCTATATTAACCTTTGGCTGCTTACCAGTGAGGGCCGGCGCTCCGAGTGCTGGAATGTGGAACAGCCCCTTCCAAATTTTAACACAAGCCAGGTTACAGCTGCAAATGCCTACAGTCCACTCTCCCTTCTTAAAGCACTCCCTGAAGGAAATTTTTAAACTGTAACAGAATCTTTTTCTAATACTCTACAGTGGTAGGGCCTGCTCTTAAGGGGCAAAGGGAGAGATCTTAATGCCAAACACTTGTCAACAAAAAGGACAGCCAGATGGCACAAAGCAAAAATCAAAACTGCACAGCCTTGTCCCCGCTCTCCGGCTATGTTAACAAAAGCCACTTTTATATGCTGGCTGCAATAATGATAGGTTTTCAACTTTCTCTCTCCTTTTTTTTAATTTAGCTTCAAAGATTAAACAAATTTTATTCCTTCATAACCTGGACCAACCAGAGATAAACAAGAGTCACACTCTCCCAATGCCAGCAGCTTCCTTAGGAGATTCCAATCAGACCTTCTGGGTTTCTCCAAAGAAAGAATGGCGAGGGTGAAGGCTGGATTCGGTCTGCTGAATGGCCACTGCCTGGGGACTACTTAAGAGAGGGTAGCCTGTTTTGAATTCCAAAATTAAGTCTACACAGAGGAGTCAGGGGCTTGTTAATCCAAACCAGTTTACAAATCTTGCCATTGAACTTAAGGGGCCCAGGCTGGGAAGATGTGAGTCTCACTCAAGCAGCTCCACTCACATTGCACGGGCTTTATTGTACAGCCTGGGCTTTGTCATAAGGTGCAGGCTGAAGTCCTCATTCCCAGCACCTGGTTTTGTCGTAAATTCCCCCTCTGGTTTCCCCTCTAGTTGAGATCCTGCTCAGCCTGGCAAAAACTTGAATTCCGAGGAGAACGACTCACAGGAACAAAAACCAGTTTGGCTGCAGACGGAGGAAGAAGGTCTGTGAAAGCCTTCAGAATTCAGGCAGGGTCCCCCACACTCCCCCCGACCCCCCGCCCCTGCCTGCAGGACCCCAGAGGTATGCAGTGCAGGGGGAGGGGGAAGCAGAGGGAGTCAGCATCCATCCCCCCAAGCTCCTCATCAAGGGTCCTCCAAAGTCCCCTCCCATGATAACAAATAATGGTTTGATATGTGCAAATGATAGTTTCTCATTCTTAGGTAAAGTGTGCAAATAAACTTGCCTTTAGAAAACTTCATGAATACTACAGAACAACATGATTTGCAATCCAGGTAAAACAGTGCACCTTCTCAGAAAACTCGGTGCCCCCAGCAATCCTCCTACATGAAGCCCCCAACTCTCTCGAACCCCACCGCCACTCCCAAGTTTCTCCTATGGAGAAATTCCAAATGACACCAGAAAAGAAGGGACAGGCAGTTTATTCCTGTGCTATACTGAGTAGAAATTAAAGGCCAACCTTCAAGCCATCTACAGGAAGCATCTTGCCAAACTACAGTCCAGGTCTGCACCCAACTAATTACCTCGAGTTTAGAGGCAGAGAAAGAAAGAAAACAAGGTCAGTATGCTCTGTTAAAAGCCACTCTGCCATCTAATTTGGAGTGATGTTCCAGAAAGCTGGACCTGAGAAAGTCAGGGTCCCACAAAGCCCAAAGCCAGCCGGACTGATTAAGAGGCTCAGACAAGCCGGTCTTTGTCCTTTCAAGATGAAAGAAATGAATTGAAAGGTGTGTGTACAGCCAGAGGAGGAAAACCACCCAGCTGTGGCCTCCCAAACAAGTCCCAGCTTGCTTCCACAGCCATGGGGGGAGCAAACAGCCTGCCCCAAAGTCCCCAAAGTCCCCAGAGTCCCCGAGTTAGTAACCTGGTCCTTCTATGGGGTACAAGGAGCCCCCAGGTCTGGCCACACTACTGGGCCCTAAGCATCAGGGGACTTTTTGCACACTGGGTTTGCAGAGCCTTCCACAGAAGCCAGGGATTACAAATACCTTTTTAATGACCCCAGCCAGGCTCTGAAGGCAGCCTCTGGGACCTGCTGCATTCAGCGGGAGTCCTGAGTACCCAAGAACGGAAGATGTCATAAATCCCACACCAGAGAAAGGGCCCTGGCTAACACCAGGCTTCAGGAGGGCTGCAGAGCTCTGCAGTCACTAATTATTTTATGTGTATGTATTTGAAATTTTTCTTTAGTTTTTGGCATAGGCAATAAATACACATTGTAAAAGAAAAAAATCACACAGACTTAAGTACAGACAGTGAAGTCTCAGCTATGCCCCCTCCAACCCCCCCCCCAGCAAAATCTCTTTCCAGTTCCTGGCGCCTTCTTCGAGCGGGACGCGCAAGCACACAGGCAACCGCGCTCATCTGCACCTTGCTTGTTTCCACCTCATACATCTTGGAGATTGTTCTAAATCAGGACACATGCAGCTGCCTCGTTCCTAACTGGCTGCTTAGTATAATTTAAACTTTCCTGAAGTTATTCTGGCATCTAAACCTCCCACCCCTTGCTTGCTGAAGCTTGTTTCACTATTTGAATTCGGTTCTTATTAAGTAGGGACAATGGCCTCCCGGGAACTCCAGGGCCCTTATCTGGAGCGGGAGGCTTTAAGGCAGATCTGCGCTTCCCCGCACCGCCCCCCCCCCAATCCGTGCCCCGGGTGCCCAGCGTGGGGCTTTGGCATCATTATTTCCACGTTGACACAGCTCCTGTGGGCGTGAGTTTGCTGTCTTGACTTGGTTCAGAGTTTCGCAGCAAGTTACACAAGTAGAATGAAAGCGGCTCAGGAAACAGAGCTATAAGGGGCGTGTTATCTCGGAAACCAAATATTTGATCCTCAGCCCCACAGCGCGCTGCCGGGGGTTAGTTTGAGCAAGTCCAGCAAATGCGCGCGCACAGATCCAGGGGGAACCACCGGGCCCCCTACGCGGCCCCAACCTCGCGTCCTTGGAATCGCCGAGGATTCAGCTGGAAACCGAGTCTCCCAGCCACCCCCAGCATGCGTCTGCTCAGAGATCCCGCACCACCAAATCACCAAAGCCCGTGGTTTGCGCGCCACACGTGATAAACGCTGAAAATGGATTCTGCCGGCCCGGGACCTATCATTAAATATTTAAAATAGAAAACTCGGAATGACAACGTTTCTTCCCCCAGCTCCAGCCGAGAGAAAGGGGGGGCACCCAGTGGCCGAGAGAGGGGGGCCCCAAGGTGCTCCGGGGCGTGTCTCAGGTTAAGGCGGGCGCGCACGAGGGGACAGGTAGGGCTTCCCAGGGCTAGGAATGGAGGGCGACGCCCACGATACCAGGGCCAGGCAGAGGTAAGAGGGGCCCGGGAAGGGCGGGAAGGCTGCTTTGCCAAGAAAGACCTTTAAATCCAGGTAGCGCGGGCCGCGCCGGCTCAGGACAACTCACATGACCGAGCCAGTGCTTTGAACTGACCCGCGACGGGGCCAGAGCCTCAGACATAAGATGCCGCCAGCGGCCTAACAAGTAGGGGCTTCGGATCAGCCCTCCCAATAATCCCCACAGGCCAGCGGAGCTTCACCCGTCCTACCTAGGGGCGCACACAGCTTGGGGACCATTAGGACTGGCTGTGAGAGACCCTCCGGTAGGCACTTAAGTTTTGCAAACGGCTGGGAGTAGAAAGCTGAGCAGGCTGATATAAGATGCGGCCCCCTCCTTGTTCCAAAGCACCCCCTGACAGAGATGCACACCCCCTTCCTGCCCTTACTCACCGAGGTTGACGAAGCTCATGACCATGTCGGCATCGGTGAGGAAGTGGCTATCTTGCAGACTGGCCAGAGGGGGGCCCTGGGTGCTGAATACGGCCTTGTACGGGTAGGAGAAGCCCTGGCCGTCGGGCCCGCCGCCCTCCTCCACCGCCATGGCATTGTATAGGTCCAGCATGAACATGGGCGCCGAGTTATGCTTGCCCTGGAGGTGGGGGCGCGGGCGATGGGGCAAGCCCAAGATTGAGAGGATCTCACGCTGCATCTCCCGCCGCTCCTGGCTGCGGAGGCGCCGGTGGATGAAGCTCGAGTGCACCTCGTTGTCCAGGCTGAAGTCGGCCAGGGCGGAGCGCAGCAGGAACAGGGGTGCCCAGAGCGCCACGAAGCTGTGAGGCGCCGCAGCGCGCAGAGAGCGCACGTGCATCGCGCCGGCTCTACGCGCGACCCGGGCTCCGGGCTCCGGGCTCCGGGCTCCGGGCTCCGGGCAACCGGACCCGCGCCGCCCCAGGTGGCAGACGGGGGCAGGCAGCCGTCCGCGCCGCTCAGTCACTTGCTGCAGACGGGCCCCGCTGCGCCCGCGCCAGACATGGCCCCTCCCCGGCAGGCTGCGCTCTGCCCCGACCCCCGCCCCTTGTTCGGTGCTGGCCCGGGGCCCCTCGCCCCGCACTCGCCCAAGCGCACCGCAGGGCTTGGAAACCAGCTCCAGCGAGCGATCAAGCGAGAGAGGAGGCGGGCGCGGATGGGAGGAGCAGCCAGCAAACCTAGGAGTCCAGAGAGCGAGCACGGAGAGGCAGCGAGGCGGCGGCCGGCGGGCGGGCGGACGGGCGCTCCTTCCTCCAACTCCTGTAGCGCTCTTGCCCTCGAGCAGTGGCGACTCACCCTCTTCCAACCTCCGGCACTGAGAGCAGGGGCCCTGGATCGCTCTCCCAGCCCTGCACGCCCAGGATCGCACGAGAGGCCGCCTTGAGAGCCCCAGAGTCGTAAGCGCTGAAGCCTGGAGGGGGAGGAGGAGGAGGACGGACTTCCAAGGGCCCCTCCCGCGCCGGCGGCCTCCCACCTGCCCTCGGCCCCGCCCTCCCCCCAGCTGTGCCCAATGGGTTCATTCATTCCTTCTAGTGCGCTCCACAAATATTTACCGAGTGCCCACTGGGTGCCCAGCGCCGGGCCGGACGCCGCGGGGATGTGGAGGGGGGAATCGGGGCGGGTCCTGAGCTCTCCCGACTCCCAATCGGGGCCAAAACCAAGGCATAAGCAGGATCGGATCGTCAGAGTTCAGCCTGCGGTGGGAAAAGCTTGGGGGAGTGCGGAGGAAGCTGTGGGATAGGAAAAAGCTTTCCGGAGGCGGTGACTCTTGAGCCCTCCTTGGCCCCCTTCTTTTGCTCCAGCCACGCTGAGTCCTTCACGCCTCCCCCAACCTGCCGCCAACTTGTCTTTGCACTTGCCCTTCCCTTGGCCCGGGACCCCAGATGCCGCCTTCTCCTCTCAGAGACCTTCCAAGACCAGCCAAGAGAAGGCGGGTCACTTGCTTTCCTCAATCCACTCACACTTTTTCCCCTTTAATTTCTCTTACTGCCTGCTGTTTGAGTTACTACGCGGCTTCCTCATGGTCTTGTCTCCCCGTGGGAAACCGAGCGCCCAGACCAGCGATCTGCTCCTCAGCTCCTGGAACCCAGCGCCCTAGCCGCTGTGGCTACACAATCAGTATTTGTTGAATGAGTAAGTGAACTTTGTATGAGCTGGGGCTGTTTCTCCTCCCACCTCCTCCTCTTTGGGCCCCTGCCCCGAGCAGGCACTGCAGCACCCCCACTGTCCGCCCCTCTGTATCAGCCCTCCCCTGGCGCCACCTGAGAAGCCACCATCTCATCCTTGGCAGTGGTCCCCTCCACCCCATGCAGACCCTCTGGTATTTGGAATGTCTGTTTACAGGATGGCCTCCTGCACCTGGGACAGACAGCACATTTGCAAAGGAACAATAACCAGAGGACCATGGGGAACTGATCTTGGTATCTAGTTCTCACCTTCCCCCAACCTCAGGGTCTGTGCCAGAGACCTCACCCAGTCATCACATAAAAGATATGAGCCACCCACTCTGTCACAGGGAGGCCCCAGACAGCTCAGAACCTACCAGTCTCCACTGCCAATGTGGGACCTCATGTAAGTTACTGCTCCTTGGAGCCTCAGCTTCCTCATCTGTGAAAATGGGAGCAAAATGATCCTTCACTTAGAGTAGTAGTGAGAGCCCACCGGTAAAAGCTTAGCCCTATCTCCCTCTTCTCCTGGGGCTGGGCCAGAGGGAGAAAGGCCCCAGAGGGAGTTTGGAATGAGAAGTGAAGGGCCCAGTTTGGGGAAGAGGGTTTTGTTGGGGGTTCCCTCTGGCTACACCCCATGTAGGGGCTGGAACAGGAGGGCTGGGGACAGGTCAAAGGCCTCCCATGACGCCTGTAATCCCAGCACTTTGGGAGGCTGAGGCAGGAGGATTGCTTGAGCTCAGGAGTTCGAGGCTTGTCTGAGTGAGAGTGAGACCCCAACTCATGGAAAAAAAATGGAAAAACCCAGCCAGGCGCCGCAGCAAGCACCTATAATCCCAGCGGCTTCGGAGGCTGAGGCAGCAGGATGCCTACAAGCCAGAGTCTGAGGTTGCAGTGAGCTATGATGCCACTGCACTCTGCTCAGGACAAAAGGTAGAACTCTGTCTCGACAAAAAAAAAACAAGGAAAAGGCCTCCCATGGAGGCTTTTGGACAAGATGGCAGCCCAAGAGGCCATGTGCTGAGAGGCTGTGTGGAGAGGGGAGAAGCCAGAGGTCTCGCAAGAAGTAGGGAAATGCCAGGCTCCAGGTCCTAGCCGCTCACACAGGCCCTAGAGTGAGATGGTGCAGGTCCTAAGCCCCCCGGGGCGGAGCCTCTGCCCAGCAGCCCACCCAGGCCCCTGAAAGCCCACTCCACCTGCCCTCATTTGATAACTCCTTCCTTCTTCCCATGCTTTTTGAGCCCTGGGTGTCAGGCGAGGTGGGCTGCATGGGCCACACCTGGGCAGTGGCATAGGGCCCCGAGTTCCCAAGGGCCCCACCCTTGGTTTCCTGCTCTGCGGTCACCATAGTGAAGTTCCTTACTAATCTACGAACAAGGGGCCCCTCGTTTTCATTTTCCACCAAGCACAGTGCTGGGCAGGAGGACACGGCAATGAGCGAGCCTGTGTGGAGGATCCATCCAGACACTGGCTTTCAGGCCAGGGGAGACAGAGCAAGATCCTTAAATAAGCTTGGGGACAGACAGGGAGGCAGCTCTCATCCATGGCTTCTCTCCAGGAGGATGCAGGAGAGTAAAGGAGGAAAGACCTGCTATGGCCATGGGGGGCCCAGGAGTCTGGCCCAAGAGTGCCACAGGCACTCAGTGTCCATCTGAGAGTGTGCAGGTGAAGAACTGGCGTCGTTCAAGAGGCATAAACAGGGTGGGGCGGGAAAGGGTCTCCCAGTGGAGATGCCACTGATCCGAATACTGAAGCATGAATGGGAGCTGGGACTCCCCAGGGGGAGGCATCTGAGGCAGAGGAGCAGCAGGTTCAGGAGCCCTGAAGAGTGAGCACTGTCCCTGGGCCCTGGGTGTGCCCTCAGCAGAGATGAGGAGGTCGGTTTCTTCTGAAGGGGATATGAAAATGAGAGCCAAGTCATTTGGAGGGGCCTTCCTAAATGGGCGAGGGCGCATGCAGGGCAGCTGGTGTGTCTGCTCCCACTGTACTTGTGGGAACAACTGATGCCAGGGTCTACCTTTGTCCCCCGTCGGCCACTACGGAGAAGTCCTTGAAGCCAAGAAAGACTCTAGTTTACCCTTCTTCACCCATCTCACCCAAGCCCACCCTGGCACAAAGCAGGTGCTCAGTAAGTGCCAATTGAATGAATAATAAAAAGTTCAGCCAATACCCTAAGAATTCAGTGGCTGAAGGCAGGCGCCAGGCAGAAGAGCTCCCTGACCCCACACCCCAGAGGCCCTTCCAGAGACTCCATCTTTTCTCATGCAAGATGAAGAGACAACACACTCCTCATATCCAAGGCCCCAGCCATAAGGTTTCCTCTGAACTCCACACCCCCCCAGTTAGCTTTATCTTTCCTGTGATCCAGGCTGGGGGAGGGGTGGGCTCGTTCTTTTCCCTGCTTCCTCCCCTAAAGGAGTCCCCAGGACTGCACCAGGCCTTCAGTGAATACTGAATGCAGGAATGAATGGATGCAAACACGCAAGCAAGAAATATCCGGCTGGGAGCACAGCTCAGGCTGGTTTGGGAGCTGAGGCCATCAGCCAGGAAAGGCTTTGCAATTAGTGAGGGTGAGTCTTGGGTAGCAGGAGTCTGCCCACCTAGATTCACCCCCTGCTCTGCCACTTCCTGCTGGGTGCCCTGAGCAAGGGCCTTCACCTCTCTGTGCCTCAGTTCCCCCATCTGTAGAAGGGGGGACTGATAGCACCTATCGCCAGGGTTGCTGTGAGGATTCAGAAGGTAATTCAGTTCATGAGATGGCTGTATGTGGTGCCTGCAGCCCTTGATACGCATTAGTTACAATCTGGATGAAAAGGAAAGTTCCTTAATAGGAAAGCCTCCTGAATTTAAAAATAACAAGACTTTCCATGATGATCTGCTTTTTGGACAAGCAAAGAAAAGTAAATCTATCTATCCTTAGTCTGAGTGCACGAGCAAGGGATAGTGTAGAGCAAACCAGAATATGGTGGGATGGTGACATTGGAGATGAAAGGGTAATCCCTACATTCCAAGCCCCTCTTTGTCCCCCTCCACCCAAGGCCAACCCAGGGCCTAGGGACGTCCCTGGGGCCTATCTCATTTCCCCAGTAGCCAGCCCCCCACCCACACCACACTCCCAGTTGTGGTTCCCCCAGCCAGGGCACCCAGAGCTGGGCTCCAGGGTGGAAATCTGATCTGCCCCAATCTGCTCCACACCTGGGGCTGCCCTCTCCTGGATGAAAGATGGCCTGGAATTGTGAGGGGTGTTACTGTGTCCCCGGTGTCCGCACCCTTCTCCTGCTGGCCGCCAGCGCGCTGGGCAGGGAGTTTTCATTTCCTACATCATCAGTCACATCTTGCTGAAGTGATTTTGACCTCGTCAGCATGTCTCTCCAAGGCAATAAAAAGGAGAAAAGAATTCTGCTGACACACACATTGTTCAGCGAGGTGGAGATCTCATCTTCATCTGCAGAACTCTTATGCCATCTGCCCTGGAGAGAGCTCAGCCAGCCTGGGTGCCCAACACAGCCAGGGGGGTGCTGTGGGCTGTTCTTTCTGTCCACCCCACCTGGCCTAGGCCAAATGACCCCAGACCCCAGCAGAGCTGAAAATGCTTGTGTGCAAAGAGATCTGCCCTGCAGAGGAAATTATTTTAGCACACCTGTGATGAAATTTTGCCTCCTATGCAAATCTTTTGCAGCACTGAAATCCCAGCTGCTTGTGCCTGCTCATTCTGGGGGTTTCTCTGCAAAATGTTTCAAACAGGGGAGTAAGAGAATAAATGTCTTCCATCAGTCTTAAGTACATATGGCAATGGCCATAGTTCTAAATGAAAACACAAGCAGACAGAAAGATGATAGACACACACACACACAGAGTCCAGAGAAAGCTGATACCACAGCAGGGTGTCCAGGTTCTCACAGCTAGGGGGAAGCTGCGGTTTTGTTTATTATTACAATGGCTGTTATTTCTTCCTCAACTAGGGGAAGTCTGGTTTTGTTCTGAGCATTAACTATCCTTGGTTCAGCTTTAGAGGGAGCCCTTTCCTTCTCCCCAAACTTGCAGACCTGTCAGAAGCATTTGCTCCTGCCAGGCACCTGCTAAGCTTGCACTGCTGTCACCCACGCCAGCCTCCACATGGAGGGGCCCCTTCTGCTCCCCAGATCAGAGAGAAGGAGCCCAAGATTCTGAGTGACTGGCCTGAAGTCAGATAGCTAAGTTGTGATGGAGCCAGGCCCAAAGCCACATACATCTGT